TAAACTTGCATTAACGGGGAACTATTTCTCCGGGCGTGTTTTATCGGGAAAAGGCGAACACGATGGCAAATATTCTCGGCTATGCCAAAACTCGTTTGCTCCGCGAGAGCGTCGCTGAATAAACATGCAAAACTTGGCGACTGCGTAATTGCCAAGTTCTGATAGGCTGATTGCGAGGACCCAGATGCCAGGGAAATCTGGGAGAGGACAGGTGCACGCGATACTCGCCGAAATTTTCCAGCTGCCAACCAACGGAAACAAACACGTGCGAATTAACACACCCACAGGTCAGGTGTGGAGAGAAAATGAACGGGGTTCTGGCAGCGATGAACGCTTTCTGGCAGAATGGTTTATGCAAAAGTGAACGTCCTCTTTCGCGGAATTTCTGCTCGGTCGGTCTGTTCGCTGCTATCGAAAGTTCGCTCTCTAGTTGGTCCGTTTTTTTTTTTAGATGCTCGGACCGATCGTAAAACTCGCTTTGGACGACGGAACAGAGTTTTACTTATTAGCACCGTGTCACGAGCGATTTCACCGGACAGCGGTGAAATAATTCCCTCTTGTTTTTACGACTGGCTTGCAAATCGTCGCGAGTGCCGTTCTGCGGAGCTCAGGCCAGCGGCGGATGCAAAGTTCCCGGCCGTAAATAACGCCGCGCGTTATAAAAGCCGATGCCGTTTTTATCTGAAAAACGTTGGTCCTATGTTTGGAAGAACGGGTATCTATAAATATATCGGATCGATAAGAAACACGAAGCGCTCGCGAATACATCGCGACGAGGTGGATGTAAAAACGTACAAGCTTTTGCTTTTTACACTTGGCTGCTGCCGAATTCGTCGCTGCGAATCCGCCCGATTCGCATTTCCACCAACGACCAATCGAAGATGCCTACGCTCGCTGCAAATCGTAAGATCACGCTATACATAATCACGCGCTATGTAAACACTCACCGTTTAGGACGTGAACTTTGATGGACGCTGTGTTGGCATTGCTGGGCTTGCAGCTGTACTCCCCAGAGTCCGAGGGTTGCGCCGTCTGGATAAGGAGCCAAGAGGTGGTGACGTCGCCACCCTTTTCAGTTATCACCGAGACGCCGCCCCTGGGACTGTCATAGCTCAATACGTTCTCATTGTAGTACCAAAAGATGTAGGCTGGTGGCTCCGAACTGAAGTGTATGGCACACGTCAAGTTTATCGTGCTTCCCGCACCGACGTACAGCTCTGGACCTCCGAGTATCGTTGCTGTCGGTACTACGATAAAGAATGACCACTTTCTCTCTCTCTCTCTCTC